TAATTAATTAAAAAAATAAGTTAAAGAGAACCAAGAAACCAAATTCTACTACAAGAGTCAACTTTTAATCAAGCAAAGGATTCTTCCATGCTGAAGTCACTGGTGAGTGAAATGAAAGCTGGCTGTTCAAACTGACTCATCAAGAGCATCCTCCTTATTCAGATTTAATGCTTTAGATAGTACAGAGGCTTAATAAAAGAAATCAATCTGGAGTTATAAAGCACTCATGAGACATAAGCTATGATGCTATAAAAATGACTCTTATGTACATATTCATGTGAAACGTTATTAACACTTAGAAAGTAAAGCCCAGCTAATCTTATAAAGAGCAGCCAGATGAAGATTTCCTCAAATAACATTTTTATATTAGCCTCTGATCATGAACCTCCAAAGGTTTCCTAGGGTCTCTTAACTAAACTTGTATAGGATTTACTAATTCTAAATTCTGTTTACTAATTCTAATTAGAGAATTAAAATTCTTTAAGAGAGACTGTTTCAAAATAAGAGAAAATGAGGTCAGTAGTGTTAGAAGTAGAAATTAATGTACGCTTTTGTGGAAAACAGTCCTGCAATCTGCTTTGGGAACCTACTGTGAGTGAATCCTCAAAGCCTTAAGCAGTATCAGCAATATGGCTCTACCAAGTTTGAAACCTGGAGAAGAAATCCAGGCTGATTCTCTGGTTTTCACTGTCTTAAACGCACATCACGCCCCATGCTCTTTCCCATTTCTGTGCCTTACTTCCTATGACTCTTCTTCCTCTGCCACGTCACCACCATCCCAGCCTACCAAATAAAATTCTATTCATCCTTCAAAATCAGTTCAATAGTAGGATCTATGTATCAGAAGAAAAGTACTAGACATACACAAAATATTAACTTGGGGGCAGGTTAACTCTCTACACCTCAGTGTTCTCAACCATAAAACAGGGATCAGGTCCTTCCTCATATAGTTTTTATTAGGATTAGAAATAGTATCAATTTCCATCAAGAATCTACCATAGTACTTGGCACACAGATTCTGATTAATGGGTTCAGGATTTACAATTTTGCATAACTGCCATTTGCTCTTCTAACGTTGTGGTGAAAAGACAGTCACCCTGCTAGGTTGTGAGAAGGTGGCCTCTTAGGGCCCTTTGCATTTTCTTTCTGCAAGATTAAGAAGCCCCTAAAATGAGCAACTTTTTTCAACTTCCTCTTATCAGTGCTACTACAGGACCCAAATCCTCTATCTTGTCTGAAATGAATGATGACAGAATAAAACCCTGGGATGGGAACTGAGGAAAGGTGAAAGTTTAACTAAAGTGACTGACCGAGGTAGGCAGGGAAGGAAGTGAAGCCAGGAAAGGGACCAACAATCATGGCCTGGGTATTCCAGTTTGGCCAAAGAGCAAGGTCAGTGGGAATAAGAAGGCAGAATAGGTAGGACAGAAGGCTCTAATTACAAAGTGGGTTTTCCAAACACACATTTCAGAGACAGATTCTGGGTGATAAGGTTGGGAACTAGATATGGGGCATGGGAGACAATGAGCAGATTGAAGACATATGGAAGATTAAGAAATGAGTCCACAGGAATTTCCTGGCAGTCCAGTGGTTAGGACACAGTGCATTCACTGCTGTGGTGTGGGTTCAATCCATGGTCAGGGAACTAAAATCCCACAAGCCACATGGTGCATTATTAATAAATGAGTAAATAAATGAGAAATGAAGAAATGATGAGTCCATACTATCAGACAGGTCATTTATGTGGGTTGGTGATTCTACACTGGGGGCATTAATGGCCCCAGCGGACATTTGGAAATGTGTAGGGGTCTTATTGGGGTTTCCCCTCCCCATTTTTTTTGCTGTCTCCATATCAGAGGGAATTACTAGCATTTGGAGGAAGGCAAGATGATGAGCATCCTGTACAAGGAAGATCTGCCTCATCCAAAATGTTGAGAAATACTGAAGAGAAAATGAATTGGGAAGCTAGGGTCCCCCATGAAGGCAGGAGCTTAGCATGCTGCCATGATGGGGAGGATAAGGATACTATGGTTAGATGTAAGCTCAAAGCACAGGCTTAGAACTTCAGAACAAGGCAGGAAAACAAACAAACAAGCAAACAAACAAACCAAACAATGGATGGGAAACAGTAGCGGAGAGATAGCATCCCTGACTCCTGGTCCCAGAAAATTTCAGGGTAGCATGCACAAAAAAAAACAGGCACGACTCAGAATGCATGTCAAGGGAAAACCAAGTTCAGTGAAAGAGAGGTGGGGCTGGGAGGGTGAAAAGGGCAAGAATGTGGAGAAGTTTCTCTGCAGAACAGAGAGTTTCCAAACCCCATTAATCATATCTCAACACTGTCTCAAATCCTCCCCTTCCTTTCAACTCCTCCTGCCCCGACCCTCAATAACTTTCACTTGGGTTCTCAAGAGAGTCTCAGAACTTGTCTCCATGCTATCAGTCTGTCACCTTTCCAATTTACCTTTTACATTGTTGCCAGAGCATCTTTCTAAATACAAGCCTAGTCATAAAAACCTTCCATTGTTTCTAATGTTTATCTAACTAAATCCCAAACTCAGCATGGTATTCAAGGCCTTCCATCATCTGGCCCTAACTACTGTACCAATCCCTTTTCCCTTCTGTATTACTTCATGCTCAACTGCTTGCTTTCCTATTTCCTTTATTCACATTCAGCGTCCATGACCCTTTGCTTGAACCTTTACTTGAACAAATAACCCTTATTTGTTCTGCTTTATGTTCAAGTTCACAAGTCCATCTCTTCCATTATCAGTGCTTCTTAAACTTCCCTGAAGTTAAAAATCACTAGACTACGCTTGTTAAAAACACAAATTCTTGGGGCCCATCACAGATACATCGAATGAGAATTTTTAAGGGAGGAGTCAAGAAGCTATATTGGATGGCTTAAAATATGTCCCTCCAAATCTCTGACATTTCTCCCACCAAAAGGTAGAGTCAAATTCCCCTCCCTCTGAATATGAGCCAGCCTTAATGACTCAGTCCTAGTGAAGATAATGTGGTAAGAGTGATACTGTATAACTTCTGAGGGTGGGTCATAAAAGGCTGCATAACCCCTATCCTGACTCCCTTCCTTCTTTGTTCCCTCCTTCCTTCCCTCTCTGGTTGCCCTTGAAACCCAGACAAGCAGCCACATGGAAAAGCCACATGCGGGTATTCTGATTATGGCCCCAGCTGAGAGTCCAGATGACTGCCAGCATCAACCACCTGATTTACAAGTGAGTAAGCCTTTAGATGACTATGGCCCCAGTTCAGAGACACCGAGGATGGTGAAGGGAACAGAGGCAAGCCCTGCCCTAACTGGAGACTCACAGCAAAATAAATGTTATTATTATTTTAAGCCACTAAATTTTAGGGATTTTTTTTTCCATTCAGCAATAGGTAATAGGAACACCATATTATTAACAAGTATCTCACATGAGTCTTAAAATGAAGGAAGTTTGAGGACTTCTACTAATATAAATTGTACTATACTGTTACATTCCTTGAGGTAGGAGTTAAGTCTTAATAGTTTTTCAGATTTGGATCCTTTTTTCTGCAATATCTTTACTGATTTTCTTTTCTTTTTGATAAGAATATAAGTTTGACATAAATTTACAGCAATATAAAATGCATAACACAGAAGAGGAAAGGGCTATGCACTCTCCCCCTCTCTCTACCCCACCTTAAGCAATACCCATGGTGAACAGGTTGGAAGGGCAGTGTTTTCCACAGAGCAAGTGGTTGATGGATTTGTCGTTGAAAAAAAGGTGACAATGGTAGATCACAGAAACTTCCTACTGGTATTTAGTTGTACTCTGGCTATAGCTCCCACAATCACTTTCTTTAAATCTTTCCTATCTTCCTTCTTTTAAATGTATCTCCTATAAAGTAAGAAATTCTACTTAGTGAGGTAAACGTACCATCTTCCCTAAGCTCTATGGCATCTCTAGTTGAGTGAAGTTAATGTGCTTACCATCTTACTAACTTATACCATTCCCTCAACATTTGCCGAGTGCTTAGTATGTTCTAATTGCCATGTTACACATTAGGAATATAAAATATGCAGGAAAGGGGCCCTCATATCAAAAAACCCATAGTCCAGAGCAGGGGTCAACAAACTTTTCCTTAAAGTGCCAGATAGTAAATATTTTAGACTTTGAGGGCCATACGGTCTCTGCTTTAACTCTGCTGTTGTGGCACAAAAGCTGCCACAGACAATACACAAAAAGACATGGCTGTATTCCAATAAACCTTTATTTACTAAAATAGGCAGCCAATAGACTGCAGTCTGCCTACAGAGTTTACACTGGTCAATAGAACCTTATGCAATGGTGAAATGTTTCAGCAATATCCAGTGTGGTAGCCACCTGCTACATATAGCCACTGGGCAACTGAAATGTGGCTAGTGCAGCGGATGAACTGAATTTTAACTGTAATTTAATTTTAATTAATTGAAATGAATCTAATTTAATTAAATTTATTTTAATTAATTTAAATTTAAATAGCCTTATATGTAGTGGCTACCCTATTAGACAATGTAGGCATAGAGTGCACCTAACATTCCCTTCAACTAAAAACCTGCCTCAAAACTTATCTCAGAAAAACCCAAAAAACAAACAAAAAAAGCACCCTCACCTCAACCAGAAAGCCTTCCTGACCAGTTTCTATCCATGGTGGTCACACACTCTCTCTTATCCTATATCTAGTCCTTACTCCCATTCATTTTGGACTTGCTAACATTGTGATTAATAACTATGTGTTTCATTAATTCTCTTCTGTGTTTACATCTCTTTCCCAAACTGAACAAAAATTAGAGTACAGAGAATGTATCTCCTGATTATTATCATCTTCCTTTGTCACAGAGTCTTGTGGGGTACTTAAAATCCAGAAGGTGCTTCAGAAAGTCATTAGACACCATGTCCTTTCTTTAGCGATCTCCCTGACAGGTGGTGATGTTTGCTCAAGACAAATGGTCCTTTTGGGCCAGGATCAGCACTTACTTGGAGAATATTTCTACAATGGCCGATGAGTTGTTCTTGTTGACAAGAGAAAGTTCTTTGGCTGTAACCCTCAACGATAGAGAAGTCCATTGCCGTCTGTTAAATGGAGTTGGTTCCATCTTGTCTACAGATACTGAAATACCTATGTGATAAAGAAAGTCAGAATATTAGACACAGAAGAGAGTCCTCCAGCATCCAACGACTGGCAACAGTGTGGTGTAAGTGAGAGCAGAGAGCCCTGGAGCAGCAGACTGTATTCCTCTACCGGTTCTCTCAAAAACTGTAACCTAGATCAGATGATTGAATTGGGATTGTAGTTTCCTGTAAAATGAGAAGGTTAGATCAGGTGATCTCTAAGGTCCCTTTCAGTTTGCATCATTTTATGACTGACCCCACTGTGCAAACATCAACTGGCCTTTCCCTGAACTTAAGTCTGTTCCAAAGTCACATTTGGAGTGAAATATTCCACTCTTCTGAGTTACATCCCAGGGGAAGTACAACTGGCATCTCTGCAGAGTCAGGTCCAAATTAGGTTCTACCTACACCCAAGTTTCTTTTGGCTGCCTTCTTTTCCCAAGCTCTGCAGTACTGACCATGTGGTATTAGGGAAAGAGCTACAGATACAGCACTGAATAATATAAAGAGCGCAGGCTTAAAGGCAAGATAGACTTCAAGTGAAATCATAATTCTGTAACCTTGAACAAATTATGTAACATTTTCAGTTTTAGTTACCTCAGTGAAAAATGAGAATACTTACCCCTTTGTAGGGTTTTTGATGTGGATTTAAGGAGATAATATATTTTAAATACTAGGCATATTATAGTATCAAAACATTTAAGTATATTAGTATTGGCTTCAAGTCAAAAAATACCATAAAGTCATGCTCTTGACATCACCTAGACCCTATCCATTAACTAGATTATTTGGTTTTGCTCTAGTAATTATCAAAGGAGTCCCAACCTTTGTCCAAAAGAGGTGAGATTAGAAATGAGTCAATAGTTTCCTTATTTGAAGAGTGAACAATATAGATGAAAGTACTACTTGCAGCTCTTTTGACAACCACATAACATAACTGATCTGGTAGAATGTATGATTCATCAGGTACTGCTTCCAACAGCCTTGACAACAGCAGAACACTGTATCTATAACCAAGCAACGTGGGCTTCCATTTCACACTAAAAGTTCTGTGATGCAAAGTAAGTGATAAGCAGCCCCAAAAGACCACACTACTTTTCCACAAGTAGTCCCTATACTCTTCACTAAAGCCTTGTCCAAAAACAATGCTAGTTTTGTTGTTTTTGTTTATTTGTTTGTATAAATTCCCAAGTTGGAGGGCAACATAGAACCCTCTTATGGTAAGGAGCTCTGGTATCAGAGACACATGCATTTAAATGGGAATGTTGGCCCCATCACTTAAAGCTGTATGTCCTTCAATAAAAGTTAGATTTCTTATCCATAACAATAGTACTTACCCCATAGTACATTTTTAGAAAAGTATTTATCTTTATTTATTTAGTTGGCTGCACCAGGTCTTAGCAGTGGCACACAGGATCTTTTAGCTGTGGCATGCAAACTCTTAGTTGTGGCACATGGGTCTAGTTCCCTGACCAGGGATTGAACCTGGGACCCCGGCCTTAGGAGCACAGAGTCTCAGCCAACGGACCACCAGGGAAGTCTCACTTCATTGTATCTTTTTTTTTCCCCCATAGCATCTTCATGAGAAATAAATAAGACAAAGAAAAACAGACCCTGACATAGAATAAGTAAGCAATAAATTTAGTTTTTTTGTATTACCTCTTCTCCCTGGATAAAATAATCTTAATTCTATATATGTTCTCTGAAATAATCCTACATGTATCAAATAATCTTGATATATGATATTTATCTATTGGCTTTTCAGTTTGTAACTGGACAGACCTACCAGACAGTGTCAGTCCTTTCTCTAATAAGAAAAAGACACAGCTGTGTATTCAGCTAAACATAATTATGTAAAACCACAATAATGACCCTTTAAAACACATCAGGAAACACTGGCCAACACTTTAAGACATTATTTGGTATAATTATGCTTCCCCAGTGTAACTACACATATAAATGATATCAATTCTAAAGGGATCAATTCCGAATTAAAAAAATACAAAAGATTATGTTCTCATATTTGTTCATGATAAAAGGAAAAGCATTAATTATTTGAGGGATTTAGTGTGAAAAAGTAAAAGGATTTTAATTCCCAAGTCTAATTCTGTGGTTTTGATTGCTCTCAGCCAGAAAGCCAAGTCAGAACAACTACCTTGGTATAATGTTAGGATAAAGCACACTTCACACTCAAGGAATGAGGCAGCTCACACCCTGACCACATCTTCCTAGAAGCATACTATTACTTCCTAGCAATGTGATTAGCACCCTGTGAAACATATAAAGGTGATAATCAGCACATGATTTTTGATAGACTCTGGTACCAGGTTGTGTGCATGCTAAGTCGCTTCAGTCATGTTTGACTTTGCAATCCCATGGACTGTAGCCCAGTGGGCTCTTCCGTCCATGGGATTCTCCAGGGAGGGATACTGGAGTGGGTTGTCACGCCCTTCTCCAGGGGATCTTCCTGACCCAGGGATCAAACCTGAGTCTCTTACGTCTCCTGCATTGGCAGGCAGGTTCTTTACCACTACTGCCACCTGGTGAAGCCCTCTGGTAACAGGTTGCTGAGTAACTACTTCCTACAAGGTCCTGCTCAAATAATGTATGTAATCTACCAAGCTTGCTAACGCACACAAATAATTGTAGCACAAGACAGACGTGGTTAGAGGCAATGCATGGTCTAGGAGTACAGGACTTGATTTTCTGGCATGGTGGGAGAGAAGGGAAGACTTGGTAGTTACAAAACTAGCAGAATTTTATCAAGTGAGGGCAGGAGGAGGACAGTGCATTTCAGATAGGAGGGATACTGTTACACCACTAGGGAGCTGAAACAGCAAAAGATACTTTAATGGAGTTAGACTCTAGTTGCAAAAGAAGTTGAAGATAAAGTAGGGAAAGACAGAATGAGGACGGACTGGGAAGAACTTTGAAAACCATGATAATGAGAATTCCCTGATGGTCCAGTGGTTAGGACTTGATGCTTTCACTGCTGTGGGCCTGGGTTCGATCCCTGGCTGAGGAACTAAGATCCCGCAAGCCAAGTGGCGAGGTCAAAACAACAAGAACAACAAAAAAGAAAACCATGGGGCTTCCCTAGTGGCTCAGATGGTAAAAAAAGAAAACCATGCTAAGGAATTTGGGCCATAATCCTAGTGGAAAGAACAAGCCTGTGGGTGAGCAGAGGTGAGGTCTAGTTGTAATGCGTCACTCCCTAGCACATGAGTGACCTTTATGGCAAATGAAAAAAATAATTTCCCTGAGCTTCAATATCCACACATGTTAAAAAAAAAAAAAAGAGTTCTATAAGCAGATTACCCAGTCTCAATGGCTGGATACTAGGAGTTTCTGAAAAAGCAAGTAACATAGCAAGAGCCATGTTTAAAAGCTGATTCTGCAGCAGTGAGTAACTTGGTAAGAGAGGAAAAGACTGGAATCTTAATTATCAGTCAAGAAGATCCTAAAATTGTTGAAGTGAAAGGTATTCAAGGTTTAAATTAGCATAGATGGGAATGGAAAAGTGGGAAGAAAGAGTTCTTAGAATAAAACAGGCTTAGGGTGAGAAGGAATCAAAGGTGGCATCATCAAACTCGAACAATTAGAAGGTTGCCAAAGTCATTAACAAATAAATAGAGGAAGAAGAGGGGGAATAAGGAGTTTCAAGTTACACAAGTTGAGATCTACATGTCAGCAAGAAAAATCCTAGTGATACACAAGAGGAAGCTAAAAGGTTAAAAATCAGTCTCTTAGAAAGGAAATGAACATTTTAATTTTTCCTTCTCTTTTTTCTTTGGCCATGCCAGGCAGCATGCAGGATCTTAGTTGCCTGACTGGGGGCTGAACCCTGGCTCCTAAAGTGGAAGCAGGGAGTCTTAACCACTGGACCACCAAGGAAGTCCCAAAATAAACATTTTAAAACATCTACTTATGCATAGCACACATCTCAACCCTCACAACCAATTTAAAAGATTGGTTTTATTATCTTACATTTATGATGAAGAAACTGAAGTTCAGAGGTATTAAATAACTTTACAATGATCACTTAGCTATAAAGTAGCAGAGCTTGGATTCAAATTCATATTCTATTTGATTCCAAAGTTAATTTTCTTTCCAGTACACGTACTAGTAATGATTAAGACCATCACTTTTAGCCCAAGTCGAAAATGGGCAGCAAAATCTTGGAGCCCACCTAGCTGAAAACCCACACAAATTATCTTTCAGTAAGAGTATGGTGGCAAGTATCTTCCCAAAATAGTCAGCATCAGACATGAGAATTATTCTTCCAGAGAAACTTAAAGTTACCTTAGGCCTGCTTGAAATACTCTCCCATTGTGAACATCTTGGCTTTCTGGACTTACATTAAATCTGTGATACCTCCCCCTGCTCACTCTGTCTCAGATGAGAGTCCCAGTCTCGAACTTTAGGAATATGTCCTTAATTCTAGAAATTCTGTTAAGGGTGAAAAGGGCACATACAACACCTAAAACAAAAACAAAACAACCCCATGGACCAACTAAATTCTCTAGGCCAGAATAGTGGAGTGGGTAGCCTTTCCCTTCTCCAGGGGATCTTCCCAGCCCAGGGATTGAACCCAGGGCTCCCACATTGCAGGTGGATTCTTTACCAGCTGAGCCACAAGGGAAGCCCACACAAAACAAAACCCTTTTCCAAAAGGACAGGGCATTTATTTGGGGCTACAATATTGCTGAATATTTTTTCCAGTGGCCCAGTGGACTTTAAAATCCAATCCATTGCATTGTCATATACAAATAATAACAGCAGCTATACTTATCCAGCACGTACTAATTATAATTCTTACAACTCTGGAGACAGACTATTTCCATTAAACAAACAAACCATACAAAACAAGACCCAACTGTGGTTTATTAAGGTTGGTGAAATTGCCTAAGGTCAGACACCTAGCAAAGGGCCCAGGCAGAATTCAGCATTCACACTCCAAAACCCAAGTTTCACCTGTGAAGGAAAAACTGCTGGACTGGTGGAAATTTGGGCAGGAATGAAAGGAAACAGATATAACAAAAATAACTCTTAAGATTTCTAGCCTGAGAACTGGGGCAGGGGCACAGTGAAAAATAATGGGATACATAGAAAGGGGAACTATTTGCTAAGAGGAAGATGTCTATAGTTTTAGATACATATGACAGATTTTTATATCAAGAGGGAAGCTCAGAAATCAAGTAATCAAGTCCCCCTTTTTACAGTAAGGGAATTAAGCCAAACAAACACCCAATAGCTTCCTGAACTCACCATCTAGTCAGTATGAGAGCCAGAGCTATTCTCAGTTCAAAGTTCTTTTATCACACCTGGTAGCTTGAGGTGGAACAGCTAAACACCTATGGGTAAGCTGTAGCCTGGATATAAAGATCTCTGAACAAAGGTCCTTGAAAATCAAGGGTTGGGTAATGACTCACAGGGAAATTTGGCCCCAGGTATCTGCTTCCTCAAGAGATTGCTTAGGGTGAGGTTTATAGCCGCTTAGGAAACCAACTCTAACAAATTCACTCTCCCTAACCAAGTGAATTGTCTCCCAGAACCAAAACTGACAAAAGCAAAAGAGTTGCTCCTAATAAAATCCTGTTCTTAAAAATCCAATCTTGGGATTTCCCTGGTGGCCCAATGGTTAAGCCTCCACCTTCCACTGAATGGGGTGCGGGTTCCATCCAGGTTGGGAAACTAAGATCCCACATGCTATACAGCACAGCCAAAAAAAAGTAAATAAATAAAATCACTTCATAAAACAACAACAACAACAAAAAACAGGACAGCTCAAAAAAAAAAATCCATTTCTTGATATTTTTTCTTGCTCCTGAGATGGCTGCTTGTGCAAGAGGCATAGTTGGTTGAATAGAAAATAGACAACAAAATACAAACTCAATTGTTTTAAGAAAAAAATGTTCTTTTAGAAATAGATTGTAGACTTAAAGAAA